GCCGCGGCCACGGGCAGCCTGGCCGAGCTGTGCTGGCTGGTGCGCGACGGGGGCTGTGGTCTGCAGGTGAGTGGGAACAGCGGCCGAGCCGGGGCAGCGTCCATGGGGATCGAGGGAGGGGTGCGCCGAGAGCTGGGACCGGAGCCCCGAGCCTCCCCTGGGCACCTGGGCCCTGGGCTGATTCTCTTGGGAAGTCACCATGCAAACCCCGCAGCACCATCAGTGGTGTCTGCCTCTGCCCCATGCCCTGACCAATCCCGAAACAAAGCCCTGGAAAGCCACGGGCGTGTCCCCGGCGCCCAGCACAGAGCAGTCACCGGACTTCTGTCTCCCCACAGCCCCACCCAGGGGCACCTGCCTTGCCATGGGGGGTCTTGTTCTCATCAGGCCTGTTTCCAAGCGGCCTAGAAGAGGGTCCGTACGTAAAGAAGCTCGTTGGGCAGTGGAACTCAGGAGCTGTGGTCACCGGCCTGGCTGACTGGGGGCCTAAGGGGGTTGACAGCACAGGGGGCTGCTGCGGGGGAAGTGGGACGAGAGCCTTGATGGTAAAGAGCAGGGTTTCCAGGGCTCAGTGATGGTCTCGTAGGAGCATTTCTACCTGCCCCCCCCTTTCCTGCCCACCCCCTGCCCTTTGTGTGGGTGAAGGACCGAGGGAGGACGGTGGTTCAGCTCTGAGAGGGTGTAAGGATGCCCTCCCAGAGGCCAGGAAGCCCTCCCAGAGGCCAGAGCTGGGCAGGCAGCAACATGACGTGCTGAGTCTTGGGTGAAGGAAGACTCACCGGTCACAGCCTGAGGGTCCAACAGCATCAGCACTGCCAGCCTCATCCTCAGTGGCTCTTCCCACAATCCCCAGGGCGGGAGCAGTGCACCTGTACACCTGGGAGAATGCCCAGGTCTGCCAGCTGCCCGGGGTGGAAATGCTCCCCAGCAAGAGGACTTGGGGCTGGCAGGCGGGCGCTCAGTGTGGGTGGGAAGGGCTGTGACTATGCCTGGGAGAGAGGGCTTGACTCCAGCAGGATCACAGATTTGGACCCAAAAGACCTATTGACTTGAGTCCTGGCCCTGCCTCTTCCTGGAGCAGGTGGCCTGGCTCAGTCCTAGAGACCTCCCTCTGAGGCACACTGTGGAATGGAGCAAACTGGAGGGAGGGGCAGAAGCTCTCCGGAAGGGTCCCGGGCAGCATGGTCCTGGGCGGCTGGCTCTGGCCGAACAGGTGCTGCCCAGCGAGGGTGGGTCCCGGCCTGCCGCCTGCTCACTGCCCCATCTGTGCCTCTGTAGGACCAAGACGCCTCGGGGGTGTCCCCGCTGCACCTGGCCGCCCGCTTCGGACACCCGGTACTGGTGGAGTGGCTGCTCCGAGAGGGCCACACGGCCACGCTGGAGACGCTGGAGGGGGCCTTGCCGCTGCACCACGCAGCTGTCAGTGGGGACCTGACCTGCCTGAAGCTCCTGGTGGCCGCCCACGGCAGGTGAGGAGGAGCTGAGCGCCACCTGTCGGGCAGTCTTGGGGCGCAGGCTGCTGGGAGGTTGCACAAGGAGGGCCCGGAAGGCAGGCTGCCGCCTCACCTCGGAGAGGTGGGCCTTCCAGGGTGGGGTTGGGGTGGGGGATGGCTGTGCGTGAGGACAATCTGGAGCCAGGGTGTGGGAGGGGAGCGGATGCCAGTGAGGCTCAAAGCAGGAGAGAGGCAGTAAGAACAGCCAGGAAGCTGCTACCAGGGCCAGAAGCTGTGCTCAGGCAGCTCCTGGCCCTGCCTGGGGGCGTCTCAGGGCCTAATTTCTCCGGGCTGGGAAGGTGGACCCCTCTAGTCACGTAAAGGAAGCAGAGGCTGTGCAGTGGACTTGGGGGGAGTGAGGCCCTCATAGGTCCGCCTGAACTCTCCGTCCACAGTGTCCCATCCCTCACACTGTGAACCCCTGTCCCACAACCTGGAGTTGGTGGATGGGTGCAGAGAGGGGAGGGGATAGGACAGGCCCAGCTGAGGCAGGGGGCACAGGACTCCCCTTCCCATCGCGGACACTCCTCTGGCCCTTGCCCCCTCCCAAAAGATACCCCAGGCACATAACAGACCATCTAGGGGTGCAGTGCACATGGCCTGCCCACCCCACTGTCTGTTCCCAGGTCTGCTGTCCTGGCTGCAAGTGGGACTCGTTCATGTCCACCCCACACCTGACCTGGCCTTTCTCCCTGTAATCTGCCTGCCTCTAACCACGTTTCTACTCCTTCTGTGGGGTGTCTTGTTGGATGGATGGCTGTCCTGGCCGCCCCACGATGGTTCCCAGACAAGGCCTGAGAGCTCAGCGGTGGAACAGTGTCCCAACCCTTCTGCAAAGGCCTTTGGGACTTACTTCTGTGGACCTTCCCCAGAGCGTCCACACTGGCTGCCCTGGATCTGGCCGGCCACAGTGTGTCTGTTAGACCTGCAATTATTTTTTTTCTTTTTAAATGGAGGTACTGGGGACTTCATGCACGTTAAGCATACGCTCTACCACTGAGTTAAACTGGGAGACCACACATTCACAGGGAAAGGTCCCCTGCCCCAGGGCCCACATTCCCACTGGCACTGACCACAGGAGCCAGAGGTTAGGTCTTTATCGACAAGGGATGGAGTCGGCCTTGGGGAGGGGACTGCTCTTCCGTGCAGGGCTTCACTAGTGCCAGGCCTGGGTGCCCAAGGAAAGGCTAGTGTCCTCCTCACAATGGCCCCTTGCACAGAGCAGGCCAAGGGCTCCGGAGGTTCCCTGACCTGCCCACTGCAGGCCCTGCTACGCTATTCCCCCGCTGTGAAGCGCCCCCTGCCGGCGAGCCTCGGCCGCGCCCACAGCTTGATG